AGATTCATGTCTGAGCAGGCCGGCAAGTGTGTTCACCTGGGCGTGGAAAGAAACGTCGACTGATTCATTGTGTGATTCCACAAACAATGTACAGGGAGTCTAGTTGCCTCAATGTTCTGGAATTTAAAACAGGGGTTGAAGTAGTCCACACAAATCCAGAAAAATTGGACAGACTTGTGTGAGACTCCCCTTCCTTCCTGAAATCTGTGGCATCACACTATCATTCATAAGTTTGATAATGATAATGCAATTCCTTAATCATATGAATCTTAAAAAATGAAGTACATTTTTTACATGATCTGATCAATATGACAAATCACAATCGAAACAAAAATCCTAAAATGCAGAGATGGATCTGCTGAAAGTCAAAGTCTGGTCAGATTGAAAGTTTTTCAGATCCCTTTTTTGATGGAAATACCTAAGTGGGGTCAAGTCTGTAAATTTGGGGACATCTCTCATGTTGCTAGACAGTAGAAACCCCTTCTACAATCCATACGCCTAAAGCTATACCTGATGTATATGGAAAAGTGTAGCCATTCACACCTAGCTAACAACTACCTGTGATAACCCTCACCCGGAGAAGCCCAACTGTCTCCATGTCTTCCATCTGTGCTGTTCATGGAAACAAAGGCTGGAAGTGTGTTCGTTGCTAGGGAGGGGCAAAGCCCCAGGAGGTGGCAGATTCCTGAACTATTCAATCGCTTCCCCACTAATCATTCTTTTGAAAAGAGGGTAAAGGGAGAGAAATAGGGGAATAAAATGGGGTCTGAAAAGACATGTGCAGGGACCTTCTGTAAAGCCATGGCCAATTACATCTGTTAGGCCTTTTTAGAGAGTACAGGTATATGCAAGCATAAAATGAGAGGGTCTAAAGAGTCTAAATGAGCCGTGGTGAAATAAAGATACATATACGTAATACCGGGGTTTCCAAAACCCTTAATCCAGTTCTCAGACAGTTTTAACTGCTGTCTTGAAATTTACTCTGACATTCAAAAGTTTGGGGTTGGTAAGATTTTTTTTTTTTTAATGTATTTGAAAGTTTCTTATGCTCACAAGACTGTATTTATTTGATTAAAAATGAAGTAAAAACACAAAAATTGTGAAATATTATTATTATTTAAAATAATGGCTTTATATATTTTTTTAAATGTTATTTATTCCTGTGATGACAATTAATGACAATTAGTGCTGAATTTTCAGCATCGTTACTCCAGTCTTCAATGTCACACGGTCCTTCAGAAATCATTCTAATATGCTGATTTCATCAAGAAACATCTTATTATCATCAGTGTTGAAAACAGTTGTTCTGGAAACTGATTCTTCAATGAATAGAAAGTTCAAAAGAACAGCATTTATTTAAAACAGAAATCGTTTGTAACATTATAAGTGTATTTACTGTCACTTTGGGCCACTTTAAAGCATCCTTGCTGAATAAAAGTATTAATTTCTTGCAAACAAAATCATTTTACTGACCCCAAACATTTGAACAGTAGTGTACCTTTATTCTTCTTTTTTTGCAGAAAGTGCACAAACCATCTAAGTGGTAGTGATCAGGGCAGCTATGTGAATATACAAGTCATTTGCTCAACTCAACCCTCAATAAACAAAGAGAAAACCAGTACAATTTTCTTTGGCCATTACAACAATTAGCATCATATTTTGGGCGTGATGTTTTTCCTAAACACTGTAACCCATTATGAGGCTAATGTAAAGCAGCTATTTAAAGCTCTTTGTGAATTCAGCATCACAGCTAATCATAGCAAATGATCAAGGTGTGAATGGGTTCAAGCGATAAATATAACCTAAACCCAGAGAACTCAACTCTTTCATGTCTGTTGCCATTAGTTGTAATCAAAAGAGGAGAATAAAGACAAAAATACATGAGATCGCAGCATGCGGATGCCACGACAAGCCCCACAATGACTGGATGGCGAGTTCAAAGCATTCCTATTTTCATACACGACAGTGTGAGACACAATAATGAAGCTTTAATTGAACAGGTGGACTGACATGGCTCTTTTTCCTCAAGACTTTCTGAACTCTTTTCTGAAGGTGTATTACGGTTAACTGTGAATTTAGATAAAATTTTTTGGACCATTTGAGCCTGTTTTTGTCTGTACAGCTATGAAAACAATTAAGTCATCTCCCCATTTCACTCTGTCACAGATCTAATGTAATCATACTTCACTTTTTGGTAAATACAGTCTATATATTGTTACTGCAGACATTCTGTGATGGCGTCTGTGCAACCTTTTCTCCATTAGGCAGAGAAATACAATTAAAGCTCACTTAGCGTGAGAAGAGAAGTCTGTGAATGGGAAGAGACCATTCACGCTGTATACCCAGCACACACTAAGTGAATAGGGCAGGTAATGCTAGAGGACTGGATTCTGGGATGTGTGTGCGTATTTACACCCACACTAGCCCTGAAAGTGACTTGCCATGGCTTGTATGAAATGCTTGATCCTTCAGTCAGCCACCCACTCCCTCCTCTCCCAGTGGAAAAATTGCACTATCGCAACAAATCCTCAAAGACTGATGGGCATCAACCTTTCGCTTATATATTTACAAGGATTAACTGATAATTCATACGAGTCACTTCATGCTAGGAGAAGTGTTTGCTTTGGAAGAGTACAATTGCTGAAAAGGGCAAAAAACATGACATAGTTCAGCCAAAAATGAAAAACATGCCATTTATGCACTCTTATGTCATTGCAAACCCACATGACTCTGTTTCCCTGGTGGAACATAAAAAGGAACAAGCTAAAATATAAGTATTTAAGTCATTTATTACTAAAAAAAAACTAAGCTTCAGGGCTCAAATTGCATATTCAAACTTGATGAAAATATAAGTTATCTTATGATTTTAGAAGACTTGGAATACAGCACACAAGTCAAATGGATTACTAATGTTTTTTGTCCTTTTTAGAGCTTGGTCACTTTATGGAGAAGAGCAGCATTTGATGTTTGGAAACACATGAGGACGAACTGTTTTCATTCTAGGCAATTCTGCACTCACCAGCTGTGTTGTTTTGCATGACTTTCACTGCACTGATAAGCTCCTTGAATCCATCTAAGCTCTTGTCATTTTGACTGTACAGTAAGATCTTCTTGGCATCAGAAAACAGGCGTGAGATTCTGAAAAAGAAATCAGAATTACTTCCAAATTGCATGCATGGTCTTGTATTACACATAATTGGCCACATTATAGTGTTATTTCGAAATCTTCAGCTGTAGGCAACAACTTACATGGAATCGTTGAAGTTTCCAACGACTCCTGGAGATTCCCCAGGGGTTGGGTGTCGGAAGCAGGGATTGTTGGCATTGCAGACGATGCCCTGGATCCAGGGCAGGGTGCCTGCCGAGGGCATGGCTTTGTTGGGAAAGTGACCTGTAACAAATAAAGGGAGACTAAATGAAATACCTCATTGAGGAGGGTTGAAAAGAGAGTTTCCACATTAAGAGCAGAAGAAGAGAAAGTGTACACGATAAAACCAGCATAATCAAGACACTGGCATAGAGTGATGATATCAGAAAACGTTCCAGTAAAACCATAATCTGTCTTGTTTTTTCCCCCCCAGATAATGCATCTTTGACTTTAAAAGTGCATTTACTTCATATATGACAAGTGATCCTGATAATGGGAGTTATAGATAGTGCAGATACATTATCAGATTGATATCCAACTGCATGATGTTCCGGATGAGATTTTCGTTATTTCTACATCCCAGTGCTGTGGCCCATCCCCATACACAGTACAAATGATTGACGTGTACCCTTAGACTGCCTTATCTTCCCACAGACCTAAAAAACACCAGCAAACATCTGACTGTCCATCCCTGGAGGATGCGTACCCTATGAGGGGACCTTATCGAGTGATTACCTAAGCGGTATATGTGACCTATGTCCCCTCACAGACTCACTGTTATTTCTATAATGAGTCAAATATGCAGGTCTGCTATCAGCCAACCTTAAGACTGCCAGCTGCTCCACTGCTGAGCACAGCAAAGATAATACTTAAAGCATGAAGTAATCAATTCAGGGGCTATTTGTTCAATTCCTCGTATATTTATTTAATTTTAAATAATTTATAACAGGATGAACCTCAAAATAACTGGGTCATAATATCAAAAGAAAAAAATAACACATTATATAATGCAAATGTTTGTAATGTAATCAAGCACAAGTTCCCGTTACATTAATGTAAAAACATCACATTTTCTATTATATAGAAAAACTATTATTTTTTTCAATTTTAATAAGTTAAAAAAGTATGTATCATGGTAATGTTTGTCCTACTCCTTTTAATTTATGTTGAATTTAATTTAAAAAGTCATTACAGTTTTTTACATGAAAAGCACATTCTTGTAAAATACTGTAATGCAAGATTTCTTTTAATTAAATCATCATAAAAATAAATTGTCAAAAATATAGCAATACAAAAAAATCTTAAATATTTTGTTTAATGTAATAATTTCCTTATGATGCAAAAAAACAGCAATTTTAAGTGCCCTGTAAACACAACATTATGTGGAAGAAAACATTTCACCTAAAAAAATAAAAATTATATATA